ACAATAATCCGTAATGTAGCAATTTGGTCAGTACACGATCGATCCTCACGATAAACGGCCTGATGATCTGGAAGTTGGGCGTCTACGAAGTCCTTCCTCCTGTTTAGCAATACCCTGTTGAAGACTTTGCCTGGTATTGAAAGAAGAGTGATGCCTCTGTAGTTCTCACACTTGCTCAGGTCGCCTTTCTTTGGTATTTTGATGAGATATCCTTCTTTCCAATCTGATGGTACTTGTTCCTCATCCCGAATCTTCTTGAAGAGGATGTGAAATATTTTCGCAGCTGCTTCTACATCTGCTTTCATTGCCTCTACTGGAATGTTGTCTGGTCCTGCTGCTTTGCCGTTCTTGATTTGTCTGATGGCCATACTGATCTCCTCAATCGTAGGTGCGCCAATGTTAATTGGGAGGTCCGTGGATGCTGCTTCGATATTGGATGGGTTCAGTGGAGCTGGTCGATTCAAAAGTTCCTTAAAGTGCTTTACCTACCCATTTCGCTGTTCTTCAGTGTTGCTGATTACTTTGCTTTCCCTGCTTTTCACTGGTCGTTCTGGTTTACAATAGTTTCCGTCGAGCTTCTTTGTTGTTTCGTATAATTGTCTCAAGTTTCCGTCTCTTGCAGCCTTTTCCACCGTCATTGCTAGATCTTCCACATATTTTCGTTTGTCAGCTCTGATGCTCTTCTTCATTTTCCTGTTTGTTTCTGTGTATGCAGCTTGTGCCTTAGGTTTCTCTGCTCTTGTTCGGCTGACGGTGATTGCTGCTTCTTAATCCCCCTTTCTTGAATCGTTTCCAGAGTACCAATAGAGACCCATTTCTTGTGATGGTGCTTCTTGTGGCAGAGAACCTTCCGACATGTTGAAGTGATTGCATCCCTGATCCCTTTTCGATTGTTCTCCAAGGTTGTTTCCTCTCCATTGAGTATATCGTGAAAGGCCTGGAACTTATTGCTGAGGGCTATCTTGAATTCGTTGAGTTTTACGGTAACCCGATGAACGCCTGTATTAAGCTTGTGTGATGTTGTCTGTCCCATCGAGAATGGTGTTTACAACTTCGAAATGGCCTGCAGAAGTAATCTGAACGATTCACAGCTCGATAGTTACCGATAAATGTTTCCAAGCGCATCACGATCCATAATGGTCCCCAAAGTGAATAGCATGGAGCTACCTGTTGTCCAGGTACAGAACGACCTAGGAATCACCATAAATAAACACGTCAAAAATAGTGCGTACCATCATTTAGTTGCCTCCAAAGCTTTTGGGACCATAAATTCTATATGTAGAGCTCTTATCTATGTCAATCCCATAACATTTGACGCTGCACGTAGTGTTCCTGAAACTCCAATACTACATACAATTAGTTATCTTATGTCTAAAATAAGACCTTGAGCTGTTATACAAGGTTCAAAGAACCGCGAATAAGGTGATTACCTAAATCTCAAGGCTGGTGAACGATAAAAATCTCAATAAACCGAACCATTTCCTATGTCGTATAGAAGGATCGGAGTTGACTGTCTTCTCTAAACTTAAATACAAGAGGTATCTCGAAAGAGAAGCCCCCTCCAATGAGGGTGACACTAGAATCGGCACGACTTGCCGAAGACATCCTCCTCTCATCCCGAAGACCACCTGTAAAATTGTCCTCTCCGACCCCCATCAGGCACGATAAACCCTGGTCTGTACGAGCGGCAGCCAGGACATTACCAGGCACCCAAAAGCAGACCAGCATGATAGTCCATGGCATGTCCGAACTGGCTAGTGGTAGCTTTGACAAAGCTCACGTACATGATGTGTAACTGTGTCAGTTGTTATCATGTAGCCTGTGCCTTCAAACCGCGATGGCGATTTGCATTTCTAGGCTGCCTCGCCGGTCCCATCTCACTACTATTGATTCCCCAAGTCTGATGGCTGTGACATTCAGGAATCGGGAAGACCTGACTAAGGCACTTCAAGCTTGGTACAGTTCTAAGAATGACCTGTCTAGCCACATTAGGTGTTGCGAAAGCCGACCTACATCGGTGAGACAACAGCAGGGAAGCCACAACAAAAGCAAGAAATTTACAGGTGACCCCTATTAACAACTACTGGCACCGGACAAGAAATTAATAGCCTCTTTGCATAGGCAAAAAACCTGCAGAGACCAGTTCCCACAGAACTGGCCAACTCAGTTCGAACAAAATGTTTGAAAATCCGACAACGGCTGTTGCTGCAGAGGTTCACCAGATGCTGAAACAAACCACCGAGTGCCTCTATAGCAACGTAAGACGACTAAGGAGTAAGATCTTAGAAATCAGGAATATTTGCTCTCAGATGGATCTGAAGATCATAATCCTGACTGAAACGTCTCTATCCCCTGACACTGCAGATAACGAAGTGAGCTTGCAAGGCATGGCACTCTTCCAAAGCGATAGGGTACACCAAACAGAAGGCGGGACGGCTATATATATAAACAGCCACATAAAAAATGAGCGGCTATATGACATCCGAATAACTGAGGTGACAGAATCATGTTGGTGTTGTTTCCACACAAATGGCACGAAATACTTGATTGAAGGGATTTACCGACCTCCCTCACGTACTAAGGCCCAGAAAGACAAACTGATTGAGGCAATACTGCATCTGCCACTCCTTGGGTTTGATCAGTTACTCTTATCTGGAGATTTTAATACCCCATCTCTAAATCTCAGCAATCAGGGTACAACAACCACTGGTTGGTCCCAAACACGACTTGGCGCAGCCATTAGAAGCTCTGTACTTACTGAGCACCACTATATGGACTAAGGAAGGAAGGTTCTCAAACCTGAAGTGGAAGGTCTCCTTGCAGGATTATGGACGTAGTTCTTACTTGGCATTGAGAAACAGATGCAATACCAAAGCTCGAAGTGTTAGGAGATGATTTCAGATGAAGCTAGCTACCAAAATACAGGCAAACCCGAAACATCTGTTTAGGCTCATGACAAAAAGAAAGACTACGAGTCAGGGTTTGTGTTCTCTCAAACGTCAGAATGGGAAAGATCTCAACAACCCAGAGATGTCTGAAATATTGAACACAAACTTCACTGAGCAGATAAACCAGGCATCCACATATTCAGAGTACTGCGCAAACCCAGTGCCAGCTGACGGCTTAGGGAATATCCGTATTATTCCTGACTAAGTATTGAAGAAAATAAAATACTTACGCTCAGGAAAATCACCAGGTTGTGACAATATTCGCCCCATAGTCTTGAAACAATGGGCAGAAGACCTCCGTTCACCGATATGTAACCTGTTTAGGCATTCACTGGAGTCACACCAACTACTATCTGAATGGAAACAAGCTACTCTCTCTCCAATCTCCAAAGGAGAAGATAGAAAGGACCGAGCCTGTTATAGACTAGTCGCATTACTACCAATAGTATCAAAGTTAATGGAAGGGCTGGTGGACGAACAAATGAGAGATTACATTGATAAGAATAAAATACTCAATGAAGCTCAACACGGGTTTCGGAAAGGCAGGTTCTGTGCATCTGGTCTGCTTATAGCATGGGACCGTTAGACATCCTTCGACACAGTACCCCACGCAAGCCTAATCGCAAAGGTTGAGGAAATAGGCTCCACTGACCCACTCGTATCTTGGCTCAGAAACAACCTTGAGAATAGAAAGTTTTGTACCAACGTAAATACGATGCATGCGAGCTGACGAGTATACACATCGGGAAATTCACAGGGGACCATTTTAGGTCCATTCCTCTTCCTGATATTTACTACCCACCTGGTAGGCACAGTTAGCTCACCGGCATTGATCTACACAGACGATGAGATCTTTGAGATAGTGGAGAAAATTTGTAGCTCAGGTGGATGATTGTGGTGATGTTTCGTCCTCTGAACTGATGATGTTGTTCAGAAGAACACTGAAAGCTCCACAATTAAAACATCCAGCTCAGAGAACGAAACACCACCACGATGCGAAGATCACAAGGTCCATAAGAAGCCAAGAGAATTCGACTAAGCCTGAAAAGTACCTAACATCCATTGAGGAGTTGCAGTGAAAAACGGTTTAAAACTCAACCAACCGAAGTTTCACGTCATGTACATTCTTCCCCGCATGACACAAACGATTTACACCCTCAACGAAAGTTCGCTCCCTAAAGTCTCCTCATGGAGCGATCTCGGTTTCATAACCACGGAAAGCCTCCACACAAGCGCGAACCATACAGGGGACGCAGCCAAGGAAAAATGCGACTCTTCAGTTTATGCGAAGACAACTAGGTGCTATCACCCCACAATTATTCTTAACGTTATTCAGGACATATGTGCGCCCACACCTGGAGGTTCACAAAGTCATCGCACCCCCTTTGCTTATAAGCGACATAAATCTCTTGGATCGAGTGCCGAGAAGAGCAACGAAATGGGTGATAGGGTTAAAAAAATAAACCTTACGATGATAGACTCCAGCACTTGGGATTATTCCCACTGAGTTACAGGATGATCAGAGGTGATCTGATTATGGCGTACAAAATATTAAGCACGCAAAACCATTCCAACGTGAGCATCTTACTGATGTATCACCACCACTCCCCTCGAGGCAATCCTCGAAAAATTGCATATCAAAGGGTGAATACTCAGGTTTGTGCACACGTTTTCTCATTAAGAGTCGTTGCAACTCGGAAGTCTCTCCTCGCTGATGTGACCAGAGCCCCCTCAGTGAAAAGCTTCAGAAGAAACTTGATAATCACGTACTCACATACGGATTATCATAATCCTCGTGGACAAGCTGTGTCTGATGCATGTCTTCATACCCGCTAGTTTTTATCGTTGCCATCTCCTCAGATCACTAACTTCATATATTTCGTCCATTATCTCTGTTTCCTCTCCCTTACTTACACTTCGGTCCTCTCTCACAAACTTCACTTCCAATTAATAAACTAAAAACATCTATATATTTCTTAGTTCTGAAATTTAATTCATATTAGCATTAGAATTTTATCCTTATTATCCTTATTACTCTCCACTGACCTCCGGTCTGGTAATGTGATAGCTGCTGGTATCCAGAAACCCCACTACACTGAAACAAACGTTTTCATTCGAACCCCGAAACATACAAACTCACAACCAACTGCCAACTGACTAGAATTAGACAGTCAAGTGGCGAGACTCCCATTCATTGGACACTACCGAATACCTGGAACAAGAATCGAGCGCAAGTAAATCAATCGGTTTACACAAGCTCGTGAAGATATTGGATATTGGAAATTGGTATCAAGGTCAGAGGACGCACTTCCAATATTTACGCTTCGATATGGATTGCAATCAAGATTTGCGACTATCGGAGGCTAGAAAGCCAAACCCTTCTATCCTAGAAATCTTTGATGTGCTATGCAATAGTGAGGAAGTGGGTCGTTTGGAACAGCCAGTCGGTAAGTGTTGTTTGGTAGTCAGTATATACATCTGATTTGAACTTACATGTACCCGATTCTGTGGAAAGCTTGAAGATTACTCCATTAAATATTCTGAGCTTCGCCAAATGATATGGGGGTTTATTTTCAATTTTGGAGGTTTCCCTAAACTCTGGAGGTTTTGAAAAAATGTCATAAGAGTTTTGACAAGATTTCCATGGAAAAAGCTGAGTCATCTCCATATTTAGGCGTTTGAGTTGTAATTTTAATGAAAGCTCAATATGTGCATATGTTCTTTAAATAGTATTTCTGACTGACCAATTTATTGGCTGCTTTAGCATACAGCTTTCAACCTTTAACTAGGTGAATAATTATTCAATCTGAAAGCCTTATATTCCCGCTCCTAGTCTACCTTGTGTTTATATAAACATAAATATACCCTCGACAATCGTTAGGCATTTATAAAATGATGCATTGTTGCTCGCATAACCACTGATAAAAGCAATCACATTGGGTGCATAGACTACCTAAATTTTATTTCAATGTAACTCGTGAATTATGTGTTCTCGATTACATTTCGTGTAAAAGCAGATAGTATCACCGAAACAACCCAGACGTTATCTGCAGAACAATGCTAGAACAGCTGAGCTAATCCTTAAGATTCAAGTGAATGAATTGCTCGACCATCGCTTTGTAAATTTAACCTGATAGATATCCTAATACGTTTTAGTGTCCCACATTTTATAAAAAATTCAAGAAGACAGGACTATAAAAAGCTGACCGCGAATTTCTAACAAACTTTAACTTTAAGCATAAGGAAAAACATCTCTTGGCCTAGCAAGCCCCAAAGCCGACCCAACTAGATCACATCAATATCAGCCACCGATGGAGGGGTTTGGTAGAGGACTGTCGGTCGTTCTTGGGCACATGTCTTGATTCAAATCATGCCCTAGTGCAAGCGCGTATTTGTTTGAGGCTTACTGAACGTATGAGAGACACCACAAGGAAACCTCTTAGGGTTCTACTTAATGATAATAAAGCTAAGAATATATTTCAGGCGCAACTAGTAAAACAGTTAGGATGCCGTGTAGAAAGCGATGCCCACTTTGAGGCAGCCTGGAATGATATCGAAAAGGCAGTGGAAACAACAGTGGTATCTGCTAGTAAGGTAAACCACAAAGTTGAAGAAAAGCCGTGAATTTCAGTACTATCTACCTAACTGATGGATGCTCGGAAACTCATCCCGTCTGGCTCTGAGTACGATGAGGAGCGGAGTCAGCTTAGGTGCAGGCTGAAAGAAGGCCTACGCAATGATCGAGAACATGAGTGATTAGCGAAAGCGGGAGAGATGGAAAAGGCATCGGCCATAGGCAACTATTCAGAATCATCAAGGAAACCGGTATTAGGAACCCAAATGTGAGTGAGACTATTTCGGAAATAAATAGTCTTATTATTCATTTTCAATCCAGGAGATTGCATGGATGAGCGGAACACTTTCTGGATCAGTTCAAATGGCCTCTAATCACACTTCGGTTACCCACGATCTCCAATCATCCTGAATGGCAAATGGGTGTAAGTCTCCCAACTCCTAATGAAGTTGAAAAGGCTATAAGAAATCTAAGGCGAGGAGGAGCAGCAGGGCCTGACGAGCTTACCCCTGAGATTTTTAGCGACGGTGGTCCAGTTGTAGCAGTTGTAACGACAAAAATCTTAAGAAGAAATAGGGAACTGGGCGTAATCCCATCTGACTGGTCCCAATCCCTGATTGTTTCAATTCATAAGAAAGGACAAAAGTCCTCTTGTTTAATTTTGTCATAGACCTGCTTATAGATATAGCATTATATTCATCTGACTTTTCAGGGGTGGATCTTCTGCAAGGAGACTCGCTTGTGACAGTCATAGAGGAATCATTCTGACTAATATAGTTTCTAAATTGTTAGACTCCATTATACTTTAGGCGCGTAACTAGAGCTCGTGAAGATCAGACTATAGAAAACCAGTCTGGTTTTCGGCCTGGACGTGGTTGTATAGACCACATATTCACACTACGACAGGTCCTGGAACACAGACACACATTTAGGCGTCCGACAATAATTATCTTCCTGGACCTTAAAGCGGCATTTGACTCAGTGGATCGTGAGGTTCTGTGGCAGTGCCTGTCATTGAAAGGTGTACCAAAGAAGTACACTTTTGCACTATGGGTTTGTCTCTATTTTGCGGTTTCAAAACGTGTTTCTTGCTAGTTTTTGTATACATAGGTCAGAAAAATGATAACAGTCCCATAAATTGCAATCATTTCAAGATGTTAGTTTTGTAAGTTCTATTGCTAAAGATATCTTTGTTAAATGACACAGAGAAACAGCCAGTCATGAAAATAAACTAATTATATCTTCCTCAAGACCACTGTATATATAATTTTGTCTTCTCTCATGTTCATATCTATTTAGAGCCGAGGCGTAGGAATACAAAAATGATGAGTGCCATTTATCCTAACATGTTAGTTTTATGACTAGCACAGTTGTACTGCGCCAACTATTGAAACCTAGAGTTTTATTAGCAATTATTTAACGCCTAACTGTTTAAGTGCAGCAGCCTATTGTTTCCATTTGGAGGGTATTCTGAGCAATGTATTTGAGTGTTAGTTCAGTCACTTAAACTCCCGTTTATGTTAGATTTTCATATTTAGTCAAGAAGAACCAGGTAGTCATTGCTAAAGCTCCAAATGACTAAAAATAAACTGCACTTAATGAGCTCACTCCAGTATGAAAAGAATTTATGTAACATATGTCTACTTCCCTTTTTCTGATGCTCATTAGCTTTCTTTTGTGGGGTGGTGTGTTAGATCATCAGTGTACTGACACTACTATAAATTTACTGTATGCCATGGCCTTCAAATGACATGGCTCAAAATCGTTCGCAATGGCGCCGGTGCATTTATTCTTTGTGTTCTCTCAAATCCTAATCTTCTGGATTCTTCAACCCCTCTAGTTTCGACTCTCTAAACTTTTCTCACAGAATCATACCTCTTGAATAGTATCTTCTAATCCTAACCTCTCCAATTACTTCTAATTCCCTTACTACCTCTTCTACTATTGGATTTGAATTGACGATTACTTCTCTGTGCTGATGTGGTATGGCAACATGAACTGATGTACTTATGTACAAAGTTCTACGTTGCATCTGACTGACTGACTGATGGCCTTCAAATCTCAACCTTTTTCTCTCTTTACGGTATCATCAGATCTTATGGTTATCGTTCAGTTCGAAGTTTTATGGTATGAAAGTAAACTCATGGTTTTGTTTCTTCGCATATTTTTAGCAGTTTCAGATCGAATAGTCAGAATAGTCAATTCAGCAAGCAAAAGACGCCTTGGTAAATTAGATACATTTATGGTGCTCGAATATCTGTGGTAACCAGATTCCTTCCAAATTAACTTATCTTTTGTGTAGTTCGAAAAATGTACCTCCAGTGTCTGTACTCACAGCTCTATTATTCATCGAAAAACTTGTGGTAGCCGATCCTCATTCACCTTTATTGACTGAAGTTACAGCTGTTGATCTTTTTGCAGTATCAATGGTTAGTGATTTATGATTTAATTCTTTTAACTTCTTCCAGGTGCTAGCATCCAAATATTTACATGACGATGATACAGACTATGGAATGTATAATGCAGAATGGGCAGATGAATTTGATATGGATATCAAAGAGTTGAATGAACTTGAAGTCAAATTCATTTCCGCTCTTAATTGGGAGTTTTTTGTAACTAGGGCACAAATACTCCGATTCGCTCTTGAGATCGGGGTCCTCCATCAGATTACCAAATGTAATTCATTCAGCGACCAACCTGATTTCAATGTATATTCTATGTTGTTACGTATTCATCAAATTCTTTTGAAGTATTCTAAGCATTGTACTTCGCTCAAAATATGGAGTGTAAGCAAAGTGAGTTTTTTTATGTCCGTACAAATCGCGAAAGTTGTCCTGTTATTATTGAGGCGTAATATGTGGTATTAATTGGACTAGTTATGATAATCAGATAATTTATCTACACATCTTCCCCGTAATTTGCATTGAATCACATAGGTGCAGTTAAATTCGTTAACTATCTTGGATTATTCAAAGTTAGTGCTATGCTGGTTTTTCATCTACATTGTAAACTTAAAGCTAACCAACCAACCGTTAATATGTTACATTTCGTGTACGGCTGTAGAGGTCCACATAACAGATTTGTCTTAGATCGAAAAACAAATTAACTAGCTGAAGACTTGTATAAATTATCATCAGTCTCTTAATTTTTTGAAAGTAATAAAGGGCTGTTATGAATACCCGGTGAATTTTAGTTATAAAATGAATTCATTCTACATCTTTCGGTTTAACTCATCTTTCCCCATCTTTGTAAAGTTATCAAATTCTGTTCGTCTAATCGTTGTTTAATTACACTTTTAAATCGTAGCTGTTTTACTTTCAGATCGTATTTGTCTTAGCACTCGCTTATCTGAGCACGAACAAATTTTCTCAGTGTTATCTGGAGACAAGATACGCTAATCAAAATCAAACATATCTTTCCAAAGTGGTTGCAGATCAATATCTAATTAATATACTGTCGAATATGACTTGGTCCTACAAACCAACAAACGTTAACAGTCAAAATGTTAAAATATGCACAGAACACTTGGAATGCAGATATCGTAGTAAACATAAATTTGTATCTTACCCATATGTTAAAGAAACTGATACGGCCATACGAATGATAGGCTGTCCAACATAACTATCTAATCTCGTAAATACTTCCACCCAATAAATCTTACTATTTTTCACTATTCAGGTACTCCAAGATTCTTATTGTTACATTACTATTATTTTAATACTTATCTCCACTAGATGTGTTTATAATAAAAAAATTTGAAGTATGTCCTGGTTTTCAATAGTTTTCAGTGGCCACGCGTATATAGCCACTGCCGAGAAAGTCCTATTCACTTCCTTCTCTTGACAGGGATGTTTACGAGAATGAGGAGCGAGTACCCAGTCAAAGCTTTAACTGGGTTAGTGGGTACGGAGGACCTATCTAGTGTAGTTGGGCTCTCTTGGTTCCTAAACCAACGGTGCACTTGAGCTCCAGGATCCTGAGCGAAAAATGGTGTAAGAACAGATTGTTAGTCACTGGCTACCGTAGGATTGCATCCCCCAATGTCACTCCTTTTCACTTTGGATCAGGAAAATGGCTCCCCAAGAAAATCACCTGATTCGGTTCAGGCGTCCAGACAGTATCTTAGCTCATGCAAATTCAATGATAACTGCAAATGAAAAAAAAGTTACGCTCGCTCATGCTAAAAATCTGGTCCTATCTAAACGATCTCAAATCATATCGAGTTCGGTGGCTTGGATGTGTACTAAGAATGTCGTCCCAGCGAATTCCACATTGTACATTATTTTCTAAGGCTAGAACTGGTTGGAAAAAACGGAGGTAGTCATTGTATGACTTGGTGTCACGGTATGATAACAGGTTGATAATTGTTGTTTCTGAACAACATGACTGCTTTCCATTCTTCGGACACGATTTTACTGTGAGATATCTTATTTCAGGTATTAAAGTCAACAATATGCAAGGTAAAAGCCGACACGTACGGCGGATAAAGTTGCCACACCGTATAAGCATAGCGATAATAAAGACTTTGTACTGAATCGCTTTTTGGACTGTATATAAGCACAGCTAAGAAAATCCAGGCAGAAAACTAAAGGAGTACATACATCTCTACAGGATTATTTGGAGTAACTAAACATCTAAAGGCAAAAGTGTGTTGTTTCCACAAGCACCCTGTTATTGTAATTGAATCGGAATGAAATTTAGTTCTCGTGGTGCTCCAAAAATAAAGTGAAGCAGACATAATAGCCATTTAGTTTTTAAAATACATAAAGTAACTACCACCAATTTTTATGTAAATATATTTCAATAAAAATGTATGTGGTGACTTCAGTGGTTTACTCTGTACAATAAAATATCACATTGACCTTAGCTAGTGGACTACCATTGTTTTCAAGCTGTTTCTTGCCTGTCTTTCCTTCTCTTGACGGAAGTTTAACTGGTTGACTTTACGTATCTTTCGTCGCAATTGGCGGTGTTCCTTGATAGCGGCTTTACGCAAGCGTTTTTGTTCAGCAGACTCTCCTTTTTCCCTTACAAGTAATTCAGGGTCCAGTGGTTTTGAAAATTCCATGAAATCATTAGTATTTTGAGAACCTTTTGAGGATGATATCTTTTTCGTCTTATTAGAGCTGGGCATAGTTAGATGCTTCCATTTCATGACGTCCGAATTTGAATTACCTATTAAGAACACATGGTCAAACAACGAGCTAAAAGCAAATATTGCTAAAATTATATGAAACAAGGACGACGATTATTTTTTATATAATATATATATTATAATTTAAACTGGTAACAAATTCAGCCAGTAAGTCATGATCAGCATAGAACCTGGCACAAATATGCGTCAGCTCAAGTTATCATACCATATTAGTGCAATGAAATGAATAACAAATGATTCGAAATAATGTATGACAGCAGTGGTAATGAGACAGACTAAAAAAGCGAATATAGCTAAAAAGATGGGGGAAAATGAATGAAGAAATACGAGAAAACTAAATAAAGAGACGCACCTGCGCCACTGTGACAAGTTCTAGCTATCTTCAACCACCGGGGGGGGGGCCGTCTCGTAAAATCTGACCGCAGATTGTGAGAAGTTATCTATTTTCTGACATAGGTGCACGTAAAACTTAAGAAACATGCAGCGCGAATTAATACCAGGTTATGTAACCTCTCTTTAAAACTATGCATATGGTCCAGAAAATGATAGACAAGTACATTAGAAAGGATGCGGATGTATGATGATCTGAGTTGATTCACTTCGGTTGGATTATATTTATGTTGACCAAACAATTGTATACTAATGTCTCTAGTCAAATTTTAGTAGTGACTTTAGTCAATGAGTCATGCAATAATATTTGTACTTTACTATTGCATTGCATCTCTAAAGCTGATAGCACGCTAAGTGAAAATGAAAGACACCTGGGTGGATGTTATGGTGTCGCAGCTCAAAGGACAAACAATGGCGACTGTCTGTTGCAACTGTGCTCAGATAACCAACTATTTCTAGCAAACACTAATTTTAAGCATAAGGAAAAGCACCTGACTCTGAACATGATGAAGAGCGTAGTCAGCTTAAGAGCAGACTTATAAAAAGCCTACGTAACGACCGTGAACAACGGTGGGTGGCGGAAGCAAAAGCGATGGAAAAGGCAGCGGCGATAGGCAACACTAGACAACTTTTCTGCCTTATCAAAGAAACCGGTATTGGGAACCCGAATGTGAGTGAGACTATCTCGGAAAAGGATGGTCTTATTATCCATTCTCAATCCAGGAGATTGGACCGATGGGCAGAACACTTTAGGGACCAGCTCAACTGGCCTCGAGCCACACTTCGGTTGCCCATGATCCCCAGTCATCCTGAATGGCCAATCGATTTAAGTCCTCCCAGTCTACATGAAGTTGAGAAAGCTATAGGAAATCTAAAGCGAAGTAGAGCAGCAGGTCCTGATAGGCTTACCCCTGAGATGTTTAAGGATGGTGGTCCAGTTTTAACAGTTTAACTGACCGAGATCCTAGGTACAATCTGGGAACTGGACGTAACCCCATCTGACTGGTCTCAGTCGCTAATTGTCCCAATCTACAAGAAAGGATAAAAGTCCTCTTGTGACAATCACAGGGGAATCAGTCTAACTAATATAGTTTCTAAATTGTTAGCCTCGATTATACTTAGACGTCTAACTAGAGCTCGTGAAGATCAGACTAGAGAAAACCAGTCTGGTTTTCGGCCTGGACGTGGTTGTATAGACCACATATTCACACTACGACAGGTCCTGGAACACAGACACACATTTAGACGTCCGAAAATAGCCGTGTTCCTGGACCTTAAAGCGGCATTTGACTCAGTGGATCGTGAGTTTCTGTGGCAGTGTCTGTCATTGAAAGGTGTACCAAAGGAGTACATTAACCTTATACAAGCTCTCTACTCGAACACCACTGGTCGGGTGAGAGCATATGGCGAACTGTCATCTGAATTCTCTACATCAAGTGGTGTCCGTCAGGGCTGTCCACTCTCTCCATTCTTGTTTAACTTTGTCGTAGACATCCTCTTAGAGTTAACATTAAGCTCGTCAGATTTTTCAGGGGTTGACCTTCTACCAGGAAATTCGCTTACTGATCTAGAATATGCCGATGACATAGTTCTATTCGATGAAGACGCTGACAAAATGCAGTCTTCTGACTACCATAAGCAACAATGCGAGCATGTTCGGGATGCGGTTCTCACCCTCGAAATGCAAAATGTTGCTTCAAGACTGGGTTGCATCGGCAACTGAACTAGTGATAGGGAGTGAAGTAGTCGAGCGTGTTGACCGCTTCACTTATCTCGGGAGTCTCATCAGCGCTGATAGCCTGGTGACTGACGAAATCTCAGCGCGGATACAGAAAGCTCGATTGCCTTTTGCCAACCTGCGTCACTTATGGCGTAGGTGTGATATCCGTTCGCTAACCAAAGGACGGGTGTACTGCGCAGCAGTTCGCTCCGTTCTCCTATATGGCTGTGAAACATGGCCGTTAAGAGTAGATGTTCGTAGGTTACTAGTATTCGATCATCGATGTCTCCGAAGCATTGCTCGTATACCGTGGGACAACCGAGTAAGCAATGCTGTCGTTAGGAAACGGGTGCTAGGTAAGAATGGCAGATCAATAGATGAAGCAGTGAAATTTCATCAGTTGAGGTGGTTGGGACGTGTTACGTAGGCCTAACCACCGACTGCCTCGACGAGCTATGTTTTGTGGTGTAGGAGTAGGCTGAAAGAAAGCTAGGGGCGGCCAGACCAAAACATGGCAGAAATCCATGAAGTCACTGACAAGTGGAGTGAGTCATGTTGGTAGATGTGGACTACCTGGTTGGGGTCCGCGAGACGAAAGTCACCGGTGGTTAGAGACGTTGAACGACATGGCTCAAAATCGTTTGCAATGGCGCAAGTGAATCCATTCTTTGAGCTCTCTCAAATCCTAATCTTCTGGATTAGCCAGCACCTTTACCTTTGTCTTTCTAACCTTATCTCACTGAATTATACTTCTTGAACAATATCTTCAAACCCTAGTCTTCTTCATTACCATCAATACCTCTTCTATCTTTGTCACTATGGGATTTCATTTGACATCTGCGTCTTTGTGCTAATGTGGTATGGCAACATGAACTTATGTACATACGTACGTAGTTCTGCGTTGCAACTGACTTACTGCACGCTAATAACCACCAAAGGCGTCTATGAGAATGGGTGACGTCTGTTGAGAAACGCTCTAACTGGTATCTATTACTCTAGTGATGTCCCTTTTTCCCACATTGACGAGCGACGACCCATCTGACGGAGTGAATGTGTGCAAGAAACACACCAGTACCAGAAGACCCACCCCTGGTTTTCCGAAAAATAGTGGCGAGCTGGTCAGAGAACTGATTGGATTGTCTAGAAATATTTGAGATAGTGTAAATCTTTACGAACACCCTACTTAATCTGTCCTGTCCGTCGCTGCTACCTTGACATGGTGGACGAACTTGATGATCGTGATGACCCAACCGAGCTATATTGGCTGAGACATATAATCCTGTAGGTTCTACCATGCCAGGCTGATAAAAAGCCTACACAATAATTGCGAACAGTGCTGGTTAGCGAAAGCGAGAGAGATGGAAAAAGCAACAGCAGACAACTATTCAGACATCAAAGGAACTGGCATTAGGAATCCGAATGTGAGACTATTTCGGAAAAGAATATGGTTATTATTCATTCTCAATCCAAACCTGATTGGTGGGTGGAACACTTTCGGGACAAGTTCAACTGGCATTCAGCCACACTTCGCTTACCCACTATCTCCAGTCAACCTGAATGGCAAGTCGACGTAAGTCCTCGAATTTCGATGAAGCTGAAAAAGTTACAGGAAATCTAAGGCGAGGAAGAGCTGCGGGCCCTGATGGATTGAACCCTGAGATTTTTAGGGATGGTGGTCCAGTTTTAGCAACTAGATGTACCGAGATCTTAAGCAGAATCTGGGAACCGGACGTAATCCCAACTGACTGGTTCCGTTGCATAACCGTCCCAATGGATAAAAAATATAAAAGTACAAAATTTAACTAATGTACTGTTCAAATTAGTGGGCTGCGACGCCTAACTAGGGAAAACCAGGCTAGTGTCCGACCTGGACGTGGTTGTATAGACCACATATTCACACTAAGACAGGTCCTGAAACACAGACACACATTCAGACGTCCCACAACAGTGGTATTTCTCGACCTCAGGACGGCATTTGACCCTGTCAATTGTGAGGTTCTGTGGCAGTGCCTGTCATTAAAAGGTCTACCAAAGACTACCTGGTTGGGGTCCGCGAGATGATAGTAATCGATGGTTAGAGACCCTGAATGACATGGTTCAAAACCGTTTGCAATGGCGCAGGTGCATTTACTCTGTTCTCTGAAATTCTAACCTTCTGTATTCCATATCACCTCTATCTTTTTCTTTTTAAGTTTATTTCACTAGATTCTATTTCTTGAATAACATCTTCGCTCCCTAATCTCCATTAGTGCTAATACTTCTACTATTGGATTTGAACTGACAGTTGCGTCTCTGTGCTAATGTGGTATGACAACCTGAACTGATGTACGTACGAACGAATTTCGATATTACATTCAATCATCCATTCATAGCCATTAAGTAGAACGAAATGGACTAATGAGCAGTGTATACGGGCATCTTGCCTACGCCATAAGTGATTCGAGTTTCTGAATCCATATCAAGATTTCGTCTGACATCGACCCACAAAGGTTGGTAAGACGTCCAGGATAAGGAATGGTAAGCTAATTCACTCCCTATCAGTAGTTCAGGTGTTAGTGCAGACTTCTCCTAAAACATTTTACATTTGGAGGGAGAGAATCGCATCCAAAACATGCTGGCACAATTTCTCAATGCGATCACAAGATTGCTTTGTCAACGTTTTCACTGAATAAGACTTATCTGCATACTTTATGTTGACAAGCAAACCTGTTAAGAGATCGAGCCCTCAATAGTTAACTAAAAATGTCATTTCTAAGAGGACATCGATGATGAAATTAAATAAAATGGGGAGAAGATCATGTTCTGAGACTACTTTTCAAAGTGTGTCCAAGAGGTTGATTGACATCCTAAAAGTTTTGTACAGACATCTCAGGCAGATTGAAAGCACACACCACCTCTCTTCGTTGATTCAATTCCACAGTGGGATTAGAAATGGTTTCTCAATCTCCCTATTCTCCAACTTTTCCACCAATGGCAATCCGGAAACAGATCTAGTGGAAGTAGGTGGTGGTAGTCTAGATTTGTTACCTAGAATAAGACTTTGATTAAGCGGATTACGTTATTTCTGTGAAACGATAATACTTTCGTTCACTTACTGATTTACTACCCTTTCTTCCTTTAGTTTCTCAATATTATCGCTTTGCCTGTGTGGTGTGTTTTGGTAACCTACTGTACCAGGATTTGCTTGCCTCGATGAATCATATATCATATTTTAACGAAGTCAAAATAATGAGGACTGAAGACCGATTTTCACATTTACACTCGTGAGATAAAACGATAAATAAAATGCATGATGTTTGCTGCCTAAGTTGACGTTTTCCAAATACTGTTTGCATATGAAAGCTGTGAATATTGTTGAACTTGTAGTTTATACCACTTTAAATAAGTAACCAGAAAGCACTGAAGATTCATTTAGTTTCAGTGTAGGAGACATTCACGTTCACACTAAAGATGTAACCCGGAACCCTCCGGTCTCTTGCATTTCTGTGCTATCATAATATGGCAACTTGAACTGATGTACGTACGTCCGTAGTTCTACGTGGTAACTGACTGACTTCGGTACTGTTTACGTCGTAAAAAAATGCATGTCAACTGATAAAAATTAAATAAAGGCTTACTATTGGAATATGAAATTGTCATGTGTTCAGTGTTTTCTTCATCATATAAGGAGTCACTTTCACTGTCGTTGAATTGTTCCACTCCATCTAATTCGAAGCTCTTTTTAATTGTAATGGCTTTAAGATCATCATTGAAGTCTGTATGATCTTGTTTTACTTTCCTATAATAAATAAAATGGATTTGACAGAACAGTTACACTGATATCATAGTTCATTACCGATAAATATGCGTACAAACTAACTGGCCAAATACAACTGAGGTTTTAACTCTATAGGTCACTTGTTCGAAAGATTTTTCTGATATATAGTGACTAACTAATTGATGCAGTGTCTGGTTTTCAGCTAACAAGCTATCTTAAGCCTAATTTTTACCTTCTGCATCCATAGGTAAACAGTACGATTGCAAGTGATCAGTCTCATTTAGTATTTACGCATCCTGTCCGGATTGCCTCGATATAGCCATTAGATCAAGCATTATAAGCAGAAGTCGATAGTGGCTGGCAATGGAAATCAGAACGCGAGTTGTATCATATTTGGGACTCTTTCGTTGGATGTACCTGCATTCCCGAGCTGATATTCATTCCGAGACTCAAACCCGGGACCGTTCGCTCCAAGCGCCATTGTGCTACCTAGTTAGCTACTGAGTCCAGACAGACACTTTAATATACACACATTAACAGCTATATTCACCAAATTTACAACTTACTGCTTAGCGATTGCCATGTCACGACCAAGGGCATATTTCAGGCCTTCACTCATCACCGACGTTCCGGATAACAAGGATTGACCACAACTTGACCGAGATTTGTATCGTAACATTAACTAAAGTCATGTGAGTGGCTCAATCTATAAATTACCTTTTCAAATTCTTTATTCAAGACAGTTGAATCATCTGGATAGTCATTGACTTCGGAATTCCCGGTAAGTTGACCAAAGGAGCTCGAACTTCGAGTGTCTCCTGAATTTTCATTGGTACCGTAGAGGAAACGCTCCATGAGTGCCACTTTGTCTTTTGAAACCCTTGAGATATCTGTTTCTGTTATATTTGCATTCAATGAGTGGGTATTTTCAACCATTTTAGTATCATTATCATCATCATCGGTTTCTGAGGATTTTATAACATGTCCACCTGCAAGTTCTACGAAGTTATCCTCTAATTCACTTTCCGTATCAAAGGACTCCGCTTCTGAATCCATGTTAAGGTCACTAACAATATGTTCATCATAATCAACCTCGGGTTCACGTGCTTCAAGTGATTCAGAATGACTAGAGGCAACGCTGGCACAGTCTTCGGGTATTACAGATATAGTCTGAAAGTAGGGCAAAGATAATTAAATTTAAAATACCAAAATGGTTTAGAATATAGATTATTTGTTTGCATATTGTACAGACCACCGTAGGTTCCAGACGAGTTATCCACACAATTTTACACAGTGAGAACAGATAAATCCTAGTTCAATACGGTAAACTACAGTAAGACTACGATTTTCAGATGATTTTTGTGCGACTAAAGAGGAGTCTTGACAGTTCAACCCCTTATCAAGTACAAAACAGGACTAATAGTGCAAACGATAAGGACAGGCTGTTGACATAATAGGTAAGTGTCCAGAATTAATCACGGTTTCCAGTACAAATCTGCATCAGCTATAACATCAGAGAATTATTTAGCCGTATAGAGGGATGAATTTCACACAAAAATACTGATTGATATGCCTCAAATCTGATTAGCTAGTCAGCAACTAAATATTCAGAAGTCGGAGCGTTTATACTCTGGCAATATAAAAATAGCTTACAGTGTGAATTAGCATAAACTGTCTTATATTTATAAGTTCCAGCAAATTACTAAATACTGACTATACTTACGTAAGCGTCTTTGGTATCAGCAGATTTGAGGTGTTGCATGTAGTCATAATCATCATCAAAAAATATGCCATAGTTAAAATGAATAGGGACTCCAGGCAAAGGTTTCGATAATTCCCTTTCGACTGGCTTTAGTTCACACTGTTTGAAATCTTTTCGGGTGAATTTTTTCATCATCAATAGCCAGGTGATTTATCTGAATGATTGACTCCCCTTAAACGTGGCGACTGACGAGTTATTAAGAAGCGTCCGTTGATGAAATTTCTTTAGTCGGTTCGCACACCAAGCAGTAGCGTTTCATTCGTATAAGCCACCCTTCAACTTTCAATCACAGACTCGGATTCGTGTTTTGAAGACGAAAAGTCACGGGTCACTGTCACTCCTTTTCTGATAAGCTTTTTTGCCCACTTACTCTTCGCCCGATTTGGTCTACAGAAGTTGAGGATACAACTTCCAGTTTCAGAAATAAGGATAATAGATCGGTCAACTTGTATTAATCTTTGCAGATTTTGTTTCCAGTGGGGACTTCAACTTCTCATTGACAGTGTTAACCAATGTGGTTGATATCACTTGTTTGGTTAGGGAATTCCACACATTCACTACCTGGTATGGAAAACCGAATTGCACTCCGAATTTATTTCGTCATGGTTTTTGAACGTTCTTACTGTGGCGTCGGAGCTCATTACTTCTGGCAGGAATGAAAAGATGAGATATATTAACACCCCAGTCGTCATTTAATATATGAAATACCAAAATAAGTGCGATGGTGCTTTTAGTCAGGCATGGGTCAGCTGCTCGATTGCAATACTCTAGATGAGGTCTCACAGAGATAGGGTATAAAACCAGAAATAAATCCTATTTAAAGCATTTCAGTGCTCGGCGAAGTGACCATGGCATAAGAAGACGTTTAGTGGCTGCTACATTAAAATAAGTAGTTGTTTTCAAGTCATGACTTACTAGTGCTCCTAAGCCTCTTTGCTTCTGCACGCGTGATAGCTATGTACCAGTGACAATATATTGGTAAATAATTCCGTGCCCGATATGCATTAGCATAATTTCTAGTAATAATTTCTAGGCGTTCACGATGAGACCACGTAACTTAGAGAGCAAGGTAATCAGTCTCACTCTTAACTGTTATCCAAATTTCTATATCACCGACAAATAACAGCAGTCTCAGTAATTTCTTAACTTAGAGAAGAAAAATAGGGTAGCTAAAATGGTGCCTTGTGATACACCGCTTTTGACAGGTTTCAATTTAAACAGTGTCCCACTTCCTCTCAAGCTCTGTCTTTGGCCACGGAGGAAGTTTTTATTCACTCGTGTGCTGCATCTGTTATTCCAAAGCTCAAGAACATCTGAGAAAGCAAAACCAAATAGCTTAATGAGGCCTATGAATGTCGCGTCGTCGGATAACTCGTTATTTTGAGCCGTTTTCCAGTCCTCTCTCACGATTCATCAGTTATTTAAGCATAAGTACTTGTTCCCAAACCCTTGTTGCTCAGGATTTAACGGATTGTAAAGTTCTGCGTGACTTAGTAACTTGATCCGAATTATTTTTTAAAGTAATATAATCACTATGCTGGTTAAATTGACAACTCAACCTTTGGGCACGTTTCGTCTCTTTCTCTATCCTGATGGTGTAACCCATCAGGACCAAGTACCATTCAAGGGCTGATATTATTGAGCGACTGAAGAACAGCTTCGTCAGTCATATTCACTGGTTCGATAACTGGTATCTCACTGGAATGGTGATGATAAGATTTATAATAATAACAGTAATGACAATAATATTTATTTTTAAACATTAATGTGTTAAACGAGACATGCCAGTTTACAGGCAAGATAAAATTGTTAAAAGTATCGGTAATACCTTATAGCGGAACACTTCTACGAAGAAAACGCGGTTAGTGAAAATTAAACTCATTTTGTTCAACTGTACCAAAAACACTTACTTGAGAGCAAAGTTCTTTCTCGCTTCGTTGCCATCTTTCATAAATTACTACTCGATGTAACGCCTACTTGCTCCTTCAAATAAATATTTGACCCTGGATTTGTTTCTATAATTTTTGACGGGATACTAAAGAGTGTTTAATGGTGATCATAGTCAAACTCGATTCGGTTACCACTAAAATCCTACGAAAATGTCTCACCGAGATATTGTGATAAGGCCTTGACCTTGGCCAAAGCTAATTCAGCTGGTTCATCTGAATATTCGTGCAGCAACAATTGGGGAATCTCACGACTATGTTTAGTCTTTCGTTTAATGCACGAACACTATACTTTCGGGCTGCTGTATGCCAACTGTCTTTGATAAGCGGTGCGGTTTCTTGTTATGGTCTTTTTGCATATATTCCTAATTTTCCTCTTTTCATCCTTGAAAGATTCGCGACTCCTTGACAAGTACAAATCCAATCTGCAACAAGATAGAACGAAGATATCTAACTTCTGGAGCCTCAGCGTTTGAAGTTAATCAGGAACCTCTGACTTTGCACAGGGAATATCCTTTTAATTCCATCCAAAGTGTTTCAACCACTGTTTGGAGAGAGGCTTGCAATCCATAGTAAAATATTAGGATAGAACTTAATAAGGACTGAGCTAACCGTGGTGAACATATGTGTACCTAACTTGCATATAATTTCTCTTAAAGTCCTTAATACTCGAAAAGTTTCAGCTACATCCAAACGACAGTTGGTCATGCCTATTGTGCTACAATATGATGCAATAGTCAAAAGTTTGTTGATAAAGCACACATATTGAGGAACTTAGTATAAATTACTGAGGAATATCTGTTGATAGAGGAGGTTTGGAATCCGTTTATAGTTTTATTTACCTACCGAGCGAAAAGTCTTTAACACACATAAGCGGCTGTATGGCGAATCCTCAATATCCTTCCCTCATTAAGAGCTTACGCCTGTTATCCACAGTGGAGCACAGGCCGCTTACCAGCACTCTCCAACCTTCTCTATTCTGGGTCTTCTTTTCCAGTTTTATCCAAATATTTCTCATTCTTCTCATGTCTGCCTCCATTTCTCGCCGTAATGTGTTCTTTGGTCTACCTATTTTTTTCTTTCGCCTAGTGGATTCCAAGGGAACGTTCGTTATGTGATGTAGTCGGGTAACTTCCGCAACGTGTGTCCTATCCACTTCTAGAACTTCTTTCTGATTTCTCCCTTCTCTAGAATTATGTTATTATTCTCCTACAGTTGTTTGCTGCTGATAGTGCCTGGCCAGCAGATCCGAAATTTTCGTATAGACAACTTTTAACAAACCCTTATAACTTCTGGATGGCGATTTTTGTAACTCTCCAAGTTTCTGCTCCATACAGGAGAACCGTCTTGACATTTTTAGTGAATATTCTGAATTTGGTGTTGGCTGATAGTTGTTTTGAGTCACTGATATTCTTCAGTCGTACAAAATGCTGCCCTTACTTTGCTGATCCGCTCCTTCAGATATGCATTAGACCATGATTATGCCCAGATATGTAAGGGCTTTCACATCTTCTAAAGCTTCACTTTAAAGTGTGGTTTGATTGTTGCATGTTGTGTTGTATCGGACAATCTTGATTTCCCCTTATGGATGTTGAGACCCACTGCTGAGGCCGCTGCTAAACTGGCAGCCTTCTCCTGCATTTGCTGCTGTGTGTGGGACAGAAGGGCTAGATCATCTTGATACCTTCATTCGTGAAGTCTGTCTGCTTTTTACCCCAAACGAATCGTTTATTATTTATTTTAACTACTTGTATCTGTTACACCTAATGGAGAATAGGCTGCCCAATCAACTCTGTTCCTTCCAGTCCAGATGCACGTATACCCGCCAGGGTATCAAATCCGATAAGGCTGTAGCCATAATTAAGTATCACCTTAAAGATAGATATTCCAATAAAGGTACAAAAATAGAAACTATAAAAAAATACAAATAATAACATCAGAAAATGGGATTAAACAGAGTACCAAAATGTTGCACAGAAAGAGTCAGTAAGATCATTTTACAATTATATAGATGGAGGGATTTTCCCAAAACAAAGCCTTCAAAATGGATTCTACAGTGGCTACCGGTTCGATGTTAAGTGAGTTTAGCGAGGCTAGTCTACTGAAGTGTCCTTCAAAGTGATCTACCCACCTGTTTTCCTGTTCTCCAATGCTGGTAATTACATTGCCTTCCTTGCTCTTCACTGGTCTTTCTGATCCACCATAATTTCCAGCTAGGTTCTGTATTATATCATACAATTGTCTAATGTTTCCTTCTCTTGCAGCCTTTTCTGCCTTCATCGCTGGATCTACCACATATGTACGTTTGTTAGCTCTGATGGCCCTCTTCACTTGCTTGATTGCTTCTGATTGTGACTTGGCTTTCCCTTCTCTTGTTCGGCTGCCATTGTTTGCTGTCTCCCTGTTCTTACCTTCTTGAATCCTATCCAGAGAATCAACAGAAATCCGTTTCTTGTGGCTCAGGATCTCATTATATGCTTGAGTTATTGCTTCTTTAATCCTTTCCAGTTGTTCTTCATAGTAGTATTCACTCCAGTGAATATATCGTAAAAGATCTGTAACTTATTTCTGAGATCTTGAAATCATTGAGTTTGTCAGTATCCCGAAGAATGGTCGTATTCAACGTTTGTTATGCTGCTCCCATATCTAGTGATTCATTAGTTTCAGTTTCATCATCACCATCAAGTGGTGAGCTGAAAATATGTCAGCTTCCTTCTTTGTTCTCGTCTTCCATGGTCCTTCTGAACTTTCTGTTGGTGCGAGTGTCATCGAATTGGTTCTGTGTGGTATGGTCTGATGTAAAACATTTCGTTTCGTGTGTACGTTTGTGTAGGAATATCATGGTACCTATCACCATTTCTTTGAAGGCACATAGATTCGCTAATATCTCATCGTTTCCGTTCGTTACTCCCAGTCCATTCTGTCCCATAACATCTTATCCAGTGTTGTCCATTTAATTCTTAATCTTCAGATCTCCAAGGACATTCCCCGACCGATGACGACAGCCCCTCGTAGAAGTGATCATTATCGATCATTGAGATTCTCTTTTAATTCGAAGGACGATTTGATGATTCTGGATCCATGAGATTCCCATCCTACCCGTTCTTTCCGTGCTTCTTTGGGCTGTATCAATGCAACTGATTGTTTATGTGGAGCATCTTCAGCTTCATGGCCGAAATGTGACAGCATCTCTACTAAAGCCAGTCTGTGTTGACCAACATGCGTCCAAAACATGAAGTAGTTTAGTGTGCAGCACAGAAAAAACATATACTAACGACAGTGATGATGATAAATTGCCAGTGCTGCGATAATTAGATCTGTCTCTTTGGAAACGCGGA